AAAATTTTCGATGTTGGGTTTCTGTTGGTATTATCTAGGACCCTTATAAAATTTATGTTGTTTTCCTGATTTTTAGTAACATTTTCAGTAACTAAATAGTTGAGGTTAAAATACTAATAGATTTTTAGATATACGATTTTAACGAAGTACATATTTATTGTAAAAACGTGCTACAAAGTAATTAAATAGAACAAAACACCTTTTCTAGGCAAATAAACACCCCACAACATTTTTTATGAACCTTTTCTTTTTGAATAACGAAAGTTCAAACGTCAGATTATTTCAAAACATGATAAAACAAAACTCCCTGTTAATTTTGCCAACTTTAGAACAATTTGGCAGGTATTATAGAAAAAAAATGAGCTATAGTTTATTGTAATTTCCCTGATATTGGGAAATTTTTCAAAACATGCACGGAATACCACCCGGTGCACCGGAAGTGGCCACCATCTTGAAAATACCTTAGATCAAATGATCCCGTAAAAACTAAATTGCAGAAACGTAGATGCAATAATTATAGTGGAAGTGTTAATTCTAGACGTTAGAACCAACACTAGACTTATCACTGGAACTAACGCTCAAATTATATTTAATTCCTAATCACTCTGTTGGCACACCTTTAAAGTGAAGTTAAATCATTATAGCTGTCACTTACCTCGACTCGTTCTTCTTTCAAATCAACTTTTAGCGCCAATTGTTCTCGTAAAACGACATCTGGATAATGGGTTTGTTCAAATGTAGCCTCTAACTGTTCGAGTTGTTCTTCGGAGAATATTGTACGATGACGTCGCTTTCGTTTTGGCGGCTGATGTTGCGGATGATGATGGTGATGGTGACCGCCGATTTGGGTCATTTGAGCTGCTTGGGAAGCAGCTGCCAAAGCATGAACATAACCTGGATATAATCCCGGATATGCCATTGCTATAACAAGAAGAGTACTTTAAAATTTGACACTCTTATCTGTCAATTTGACGTTTAAATTGATTTCTAAATCAAGTATTACCTTAAGTTGGATACACTTGGTCTTGAAATCGTAACTTTGATGTAATGTTACTTAATCTATCTAGGAATGTACCCATTAAGAAGGGATTTTTTGCATCAAATATGATTTTTAAAGCTTTTAAATAGACGGTCCCGAGAGTGAGTGAGGAGTGGCACAAATCGCCTTTTTAAAAGTACGTTCGTCTTTTTCAATGATGACGGACGGTCGGGTTGGATTGAGTTGAGTTTTTAAGGTTTTTAAAGGGGCGCAAAACCCTCTCTCTTTGCTTGTGTGGTTTCCAGGCGCGCCCCCGGAGGTTCACCGAGAAACAAAAAATCGGGGACCGCTCCGGAGCGGACCCCCTCGGGGCTCCGAAAGAACAATATTATTATTTCATAATTTTTAAACAGGGTGTTATTGATTTTTAAGAGACTCTCTTCGTATATAAGCTCGCTCTTTTAAGAAATGTTAAGTAATTAAGACTATGTGAGCTGATTTTATGATTCACTATTTTAATGTAGCCAACCACAACACGCACCAAAAATTCACTGTATCTATATACAATTGAATTGAGATTGTTGTCAGTTTCTTTTGAGGCAGGGCGCCAAATATTTCTTTTCAATTCTTCGTTCGTGCGAGGCCCCGGTATTTACGGCCAAAGTAGAGAAGCTTACATTGGAAGTGTAGAGCTTTTCTCGCTTCACCTATTAAAATCTACATATTGAAATACTTTTAGGATTTAAGCTGGCGTGAATTTTTCCGGCCGATCAGAGAAGAGGATTTGACGATGAATTTCTCAATAGAAAACCCATTCAAGAACAGATTTTTCTTTACATTTTGGGTGTGAAACGTTTCCGAAATCACGGTTTAACACCTTTTACGAATTATTTGGACAAAGAAAAAAGGAACCATTTCTAAAATTAACTCAAAACGATTTAAAAAAGAATAACTATTTCACAACGGATGAATTATAAATTATCACTCTCACTATATTGATACAGTGTTCTCATTCCCTAAGAATTTCTTGTTTTGTGTTCACAATCATGATATAATAAATAATTATTTCTAATACGAAAAAAAACCTTTATCAAAACGGCCGTAACTTCTAAGAATGCTTTAGAATAATGAGTAAAAAATTTTACAGAGTTCAAAGACAATCTATTTTTATCTTTGAAATATATTCAACTTTTATTTCCAATAAAATTCTCTCTTATGCGATATTAACTTCGTCCAATGTCGTTATGGGAATAAGGAAGCATTTTGAGACACAGTTGAATAACAATTTTGATGTTATTGCAAAGAAGTTCGTGTCATACCAATTTAGGGTTCACCCAGGCAGATCTACGTCGCACCTCTTGGCAGCACTGACTCAAAGTTAAAACTTAAACAATTGAAGACGTCCATTCAAACCAGATAAGTTGAAAATTCTATTTTATGATGGACCCTTTCTGGTTAGATAGATCAAATATTAAGCAAAGTTTATGATTTTCTCATGGAAACAGTAAACAACGTGGAAAATCAAATATTAAGAGTATATTATATTGTATTTATTAGACTCTAAATTATATTTAAAAAAATATATCAATCAATTTTATTAACTGACTGCAGCAAAATACAGACCAGACGGAATCACTGTGCGCCAGCCATAGCTCACTGGCGGAAGTTCTCTAGGTCTTGATTTTTCTGTTAAGAATAAACGTAATTGTGGAATAGGCTAAAAATAGAAACTTTCGAAATGGCGACATTTCAAAACTAGCTCTCAATTTTGACTAAAAATATCCAAGACTTATTTATTGCTAAAAAATAATACATAGCAGATATCGATACGATAATAGTCTATTTCAGAGATCAACCATTTTTAAGTATGTTAAAAAATATCGGATGTGATATGTTGAAATATGTGTTTGGCACAGGAAAATGCGTTTAAAGTGATATGTTCTGTTTTCGGCTGTATATTAACCGGCTGTAGGCTCATAGAATTTCTTCAAAATATATACGTTGGGCAACACATTCAATTTCGATAACGGATGGTGATAATCGAGATGCGGTTTTCACTAATATTTAGCAAATTTTAAGGTGACTAAGAGTCTGTGATGTAAATAGTACCGTTCCATTCAATAGTTTATAAAAAATCACAAAAATATGTAATCGCTACAGATAACGCCCTCTAGTTTATTTATAACTTATTTAAGTTATAGCTCATCGTCTAACTTTCTGAGATAGCGGGAATTTTATAAAAGGGATGAAATTCTCCATATTTTTCAAAAATTAAATAATAAAAATAGGAAAAAAGTAAAAACTTTTTGTGAGAAATATTAAAAATACTTAATTTATTTCAAAAAGTAAACATGTTTCGAAACAAATGTTTCATCTTCAGTACTTGAAATAATTACAAAATGATCTAGATTAATTAACTTAATGGATTTTATTTATTTTGATTTTGTATGAAAAATTTTTTAGAAATATTGTGTATTTTAACTATTTTAAGATAGAAAACCAAAACTCATTCCTATTTCCAACATATTTTAAATTTTTCCATCAATTTATAATTATTTCAAGTACTGAAGATGAAACATTTGTTTCGAAACATGTTTACTTTTTGAAATAAATTAAGTATTTTTAATATTTCTCACAAAAAGTTTTTACTTTTTCCTATTACTATTATCGGGAATTTTATGTTTTTCCATGGCAGTTAGCGGTCGAATTACGAACATCAAAATAATTTCCAGCTATTTCTCTTGCCCACTTAACCTATAAGGATTTTTTCCCAAACTTCTAGTCCTTACCGTTGTCGAGATACTGCCGCTCCGTACTCTTAACGGGACACCTGTACATACTTGACACTTAAACGTCAAAAAGCATACCAAGCAAAATCAAATCTAATGTTAAGGATTTAATCCTTATAAAATTACTTTTTTTTTTTAATATTGTTGTTAACCTAAAAATGTTATCAATTTGACATTTTATTTACTTAACTGACATTTTAACAATATGTTATTGACATTTACTCTGACTCAAATGTAATTTCAAAATTTCATATTAACAATAACTTTTTGACAATTAACTATCAATTTTGATGTCCATAATCATTGAAGCATAATTTTTTGACATTTTACTTGATACTAAACTGCCAGTAAACTATTTTTTTACTAACCTAGAAAGTCTGCAGAACCAGGTCCAAATCCTCCGGCGGCAGCAGCCGCCAAATGACTTAAATGAAGCGTCGGATGCTGTAAAATTTGTTGTGCTGTGGTGTGATGTGTTGCGGAGCGACTATTGTCGTTATTATTTTGTAGTGAAGAAGCGACGGTTGGTTTGGGTCTCGGTGCCAAAATACTATCAATAGTAAAAAGCGATCCACTACTACTATTATTATTATGACTACTTTGACTTTGACCACCTGAGCCCCCGCGATTTTTACTATTATACACTGGAAACATATTCCCCATTAAAACACCACCTCCTTGAAGATGGTGATGCAAATGATGACGACCCCCAAAAACGTCACTACCCGATCGCGATTCCAAAGACGTCTCTACCATTTTATTATACGCGGATGCGGAATCTTCCGAAAACTCCTCGTTTTCGCACCAATCGAGCTCTTGGAGCTCTTGTTTTAACGCCAGCTTGATTAAATTAATTACAAACTCAAAATTTATTTCCACCAAAAACTTTTTTTTTATTTTTATTGGAATAATTTGTCTCTAGTTAAAATCTTTTTTTAGTCGCTAATTTTTTTGACACGTATAATATTCAACATGACCTTTCAAAACGCGGTGTGCCATGAGATTGACACGCCACCGTTGGAGTTTTTAGGGTGGACACGAACACGCCTACCACACCCCTAAAAAAGATAATTTCTCCATTGTGATTGGTTGGTGATCAAGCCACCCCACCCCTCAAGTAGACCCAAGTCCCCAATTGGACGGTTTGGTCGCACACGGTTGTCAGGGAAGCCAACATTTTTCTTTTAAGCCTTTTTGAACGTTTCTAGATTTCGGTGTCTCATATACAAAAAGGAGTAGAGTGAGAAGAAATATAACGATAATGCCACGGTGTTTTAACATTTTAGGAAGCGTAATTTTGTTCAAACTGACTTCATAACCCAATTTTTTTGTTTTTATTTTTATAAGTTATTTTGCCTAATGATAATAATGATTTCATTATAATTTATTACTTTATGATTTTATCTGAGAAGGGATAATTTGTTTGTTGGAGAGGGGTAAAAATGGGCGGAGTTATCCCCATATTTCAACCTTCAAATCCCTAACTAAAGCCGCTTCCTATTGGTTAAAAGGCGTGGTAATCGTATCACATGTCTTTCCAGTTGGTAATTCTACTAATCCCTACCAGAAGTTCTTTATTTTCCATCGTCCAACAAACGTTCAGAAATGTAAGTAGAAAAGTGGATTTAATTTAAAAAAGAAATTATCAGCTTCATTTTAAGGGCATCCAAACATAATGAAAGATTTAAAAAATGTTTTGAGGCAAGTTTGAATACAATTTCAATCAAAAAATCATTCATTGCCATCTATTATTAAATTGACAAAACTTTAAAACAAAACTTTAGTCGATGTTTATCAATTTCAATATTTCATTAAATAATTTGACATATTCAATTAATTTTGTTAATAAATTTTTATGATTTAAATATAAAAATAAAATGTCGCGCCATCTATGAATAATCAGGATTAACCACAAATATCGATTTCTACTCTAACATATCTTGCCAAACTAAAAGGAGTAAATGCAAAAGTTAGGTTTACACCACGAAATATCATCAAAAAATATGTTTAGTAAATGTTTTAAATAAAATAACATTTTATTTATTAATATTTATTGCAATAAATATTCTATTTCGTATTCACCAATCACGAACAAGTTTTTTTGAAGTCTTTCAGTTGGTATTAATTCTTTTATATTTACGACGCATTTAAGAAATAACCTCACATTTCAGTTTCACGTTTTTGTTGTAATAATTCTCCAAACACATTTTAAAAAATGGAAAACAAAGGTATAATATACGTTGGACACCTTCCACACGGTTTTTATGAAGCCGAATTAAAATCTTATTTCAATCAATTCGGAAAAGTGACGAGGTCAAGAGTTGCGAGGTCTCCAAAAACTGGAAGAAGTAAAGGTTATGGTTTTATTGAGTTTAAACATGAAGAAGTCGCAAAAATTGCTGCGGAGACGATGAATAATTATTTGATGTTTAAACGGAGATTGATTGCGAAAGTGATTGCTAATGGGGAAAAGGTGAAGCGTATTTTTAAGGGACAAGCGTGGAACACAAAAAGTTATTCTGGGAAAGTTAAACGTGCAAAGGAAATTAAACAATTAAATGCATACGGAAAAGGTGAAAAAAATATAAATAAAAGAGTTAAGAATATTAAAAAGAAAATTGAGGACTTAAAAAAGATGGGCATTAAACATAAGGTTAAAATAAATGGAAATGAAAACAAAGATAAACTTAATTTAAAATAATTCTTTTTAAAAATAAAATAATTAAAATGGATCTAGTTTTTACAATTTATTTTCACTTTTATTTACATCCTTTTCTTCATCTTCATCAAAAACGAACCATTTCTTTTTGTTCAACAGAAATAACCCCATCAAAATAGGTAAATGTATCAAAGAAAACCTAAAAAGTTTTCTAGAACTCTGTCCTGATGAATCTTTGTAAAAGTTATGAGCTAAAATAAAAAAACAAATAAAAACATAACCTCTAAGAAATTAACCCACCTAAATAAATAAAATATAAGTTTAACGGAGCACTTTCTAATAAGAACCAATAATTTGTTGTATCAAGAAGTGGTGCTAACGCGGATAAGCCGAAAATTGCCACTGTATGTCTTAAAGCAACTCTCCTACATAAACCAGGGTCTGTAACAGCCATCATCCTGTACCCAGCTCGGGAATAATCTGGTCGTAAATTCCATGATAATGCGTTAAAGTGAGGAAATTGCCAGGAATATAATAAGGCTGCCATTAACCAAGCACCAGGACCTAAATAATTAGAACAAGCAGCCCAACCCATTAAAGGAGGAATAGCACCGACTAAAACAAATAATTTAATTCAATTAAAATAACCAAAAATAATAATTAATTAAAAAAGTGAGGTTATGTTTACCAATTGATCCAACCCAAGTATTTAAAATACTTATTCTCTTCATAGGAGTATAAATTGATGTATAAAGTACTAAATTACAAAGTCCTAAATACGCAGTTAATGGATTTACACCATAATAAAGTAATGATAACCCTAAAATACTTGATATTGAAGCAAAACTCATCGAATGCAACGGGCTAAAATTAAAAAACAATTACCATTTGTTCTAATTCAATATGTTAATTGTTCTACGTTAATTTTCCACAAACTAATACTCGATGTTTTGTTCTGGACATTTGAGCATCAAATGGAACCTCATGATATTGATTAACGGCATTTGCAGCACCTGACAAAAGTCCTGTTCCAAGAACTAAAAGAGTGAATGTTGGCCATTCAAAGGGAGCGGGGGCCATAGCATAACCCGCCATTGATGTTATGACAACTAAACCTTTAAAATAACACTAAATATTATAAGAAAATGTGATATGAAAAAAATACCTGTTAACCGAATTTTTGATAATTTTAAATAATGCTGAATCAAATTTGATTTATCAGTCGACGGGGTGGGTTTCCATGATGGTATTACAGTCGGTTTTAATGGAAAATTCTTGGTTAATTCGTTTTGATCATTGATAACCTCAAAATGAGTAAAATTTGAAGCTGATTTTTCTCTCAATACTTGACTAGTTGTGAATCTTATATGTTTCTAGTATAAGAAAAAACGTTAATTATTGAATTAAGTAATGATTTAAATAATAAATTCTTATTACCTTTAATATTATTGCATTTTTTATTGATTTACATAACCTCAATTGAACTGTTAGTAAAGACATTTTTAAGTTAAAATGGGATCATTTAAAATATATTTAGCAACTTAAAGCGTTATTTAACTTAAAATGAGTATAGAATCGTTTCGAATTTCATCTTTTTGAGTTAATCTTTTCAGCAATTTTAAGGTTATTGTCGATAAGGTGAAAAATTGACAGTGACATCTTTCGGCGATTTTTACAGAATAAAATTAAATGTTAAATTTAGTATTTTTGGTGAGTTTGAGGAATAATTAATCTCATCTTATAATTATGTATAGTAATTATTTATTATGACAAACAAATTGAAAAAAATACACAAAAAGTTAATATAGTAATTAAATTATATTAGAAGCGGTTATTTTAATACCAACTTAAATTTGGAGTAATATGAAATCGTTTCTTTTAAAATTTTAATGGTTAATCATTTTATTTAAATAAAAAAGTATTTGTGCTAAAAACAACCTCATTGACGAGAAAAAAGATAATTATTCTAAATTTGTTAACATATTTTTTTTTAATTCTTATTCAAGTTTTTAATTATTATTTATAAAATATCATCATATTGGTGTACTTTATTATTTAATTTTTTCTCTTCACTTCCATTAAATAAGTTTATTTATTTACTCATTTAAATATATATTATACACATTTGAACACATTTAGTTGCCTTATTGTGTACATAAGGGGTTCAGTTTTTGTATCTTTTCCTCTTTTTCAGTAATTACTCACTATTTACAAGGTTTTACAAGCATTTTTCTTATTTAGTAACTAGAATTCCTGATTTTTCAACGACTTTAGCACCTCTTAACCATTGAAAACAACTCAAATCTGAATATTCATATGTTTTACTCTCATTGTTTCATATTTAGAGCGAGGTTAGATTTTAAATAAAAATTGAATATTTTTTTATTAAATAAAATTAATAATTAACTTCCTTTTATAAATTTAGAGCTTATTTATATTTACATTTTGAAATCTTATCAAAACACCATGGTAACACTTAAAAACCAACAAAAGAAAAATAAAATAAAAAATAGTAACCCATGATTTAAACTTAAATTTGTAAACCTAACATAACCTTAAAAACAAAAAACATGATGGCGACGGAAAGTAAACATAAAAAATTGCGCTAATTTTCATATTTTAAATATATAAACTCTTAATATTTGTTTTAAAAAATTTTTTTAAGTTTTAATTTAATGAGGTAGGCCCGAACTACTAACTTCCATTTCTTCCGTATAATTACTTAACGGATGATTTTGCACGTTATACCTGTAAGAACTATGTGCCAATTGCGAATTGTGTCCCATTTGAGAATGATGTCCGGGTGGGTACTGATGTAAATGACCCATTTGAGCATGTAAATGACTATCACTAGGACCCGCAGTACTATTTCCGGGCAAATTTAACCCAAAATGTCGTAAAGGTGTCCCTAACATCTTCCTCGGAGATCGGGAAGATTTCGATGGCCTTCGATAAAATTCTTCAAAAATTGATGGCGCTACATAGGTAAACCCCTAAAATATATTTTTTTGAAGGATTTTGCGTTTGTAAAGTTTAAATGTTTACCTTAAAAATCATATTTGCACTTTCACTTAAAGTTGATTCATCAGGTGAATCTACTGGAGTTTGTTTTGTAAATTTGGTATCGAATTGAGAGACATCATCTTCACTACTCTGTAAAAATGGGGGAAAAATTGAAATTGGTTAAAAAATAAATTATAAAAAATGACAGCTTATGTCAATATGAAAAAATAAACAAACATGAAGTTAGTTATAAAAATTAAAATATTTGTTTAAAATATTTTGACATTAATCTTTTCATTTTGAAACATAACAAAAACTTACAACATTCGGTTTAAACGGCGGTTCTAATTTTCGTTTTAAAACATCATCCCAACTGATGTGTTTAAAAAAAGGATGCGTTTTAACATCATGAGCATCTCCAGGAGGCGAACCTAACCTCATTGAAACTTGCCGTTTTAATAATTTCCTAACTAAATCCTTTGCATCACTTGTTAAATATGGAGGTAAATTTAATTTTCCTTTTAATATTTTTTCTATCGTCTTTTTGCGACTATCAGCCGTAAAAGGTGGCTAAAAATTGAAATCAATATAACTTGAAGAACAATTTCTTTTAATTCTATTTTACCGCTCCTGTTAGCATATCAAACATTAAAGCGCCTAAAGACCACCAATCAACTTCTTTCCCATGTCCCGTTCGTGTTAAAATTTCAGGAGCCCTAAAAAAATTTTTTTAACTTATTTCTTTTAAAAAAAATTTTTTCTTTGCTTACATATATTCTATTGTACCACAAAATGTGTGTGTAACGATTCCTTCCTTGATATGTTCCTTACACAATCCAAAATCAGTTAATTTTACATGACCTTGAGCGTCTAATAGAATATTTTCAGGTTTTAAGTCTCTATAAATAATTCCTTGCGAGTGCAAATGTTCTATAGCCAATATTATTTCAGATAAGTAGAAACTATAAAAAAATATAATAAATTTAAAAGGTGATAATTTTATTTTTAAGTTAATTAAGACTCTAAAAATTACCAAGCACTTTCTTCTAAGAAAATTCCTTCTCGTTCTAAGTGCATAAACAATTCTCCCCCACTTAAATATTCCAATATTAAATATAATTTTCCTCCCGTTTGAAAGGCATATTTTAAATCTACGATAAACGGATGTTTAACTTCCTCTAAAATGTTTCTTTCAGCCTTCGTATGAGCGGTATCTTTCTGATTTCGAACTATCGTCGCTTTCTTAAGGACTTTCATAGCGAAAATCGTACCTTTATCCATACCCGTAACTTTTCTAACCTGAAAAACTTTACCATAACCTCCTTTTCCAAGGACATTTCTTAGTTCAAAATCATGAGGACCTAATTTTTCTTGACCTGGATTTACATTTTGTTCAGTTATTTGCAACGTTTCAATATCTTCAGATCTAAAATGATTAAAGAAAGTTTTTGTTCTAAATTTTGAGGTTATAATCACATTTTGACTTACTCATCGATTCTATTGATGTTTGGGTGTTGATCATAACCACCCTGTAACACATTTAAGAAAATTAAATATTACAATAGTGTTTTCTTTATAAAATCTATGGATTTTGTTCAAAAAAAAAGTTTATTTTGGAACTTTTACTTTTGACGTTTTAGCCTTGAAATTTTTTTATGAATAAAATCCTATAATTTGCTTTTTTTACCTCTTCAACTTCAATAACATCGTCGTCAGAATCGTCGACTTCGACCTCCTCGTGAAGTTCCAAGTCGAACATTGTGGACATCATCATTTTTAAAACGAAGAAAAATAATAAGAATGTATCAAGATTTTCCTGCAGCCCCCGAAACCTTGCTACAATTAATTTCACATTTAAATTGTTAATCGGGCGCTTATCTAACAAGATTAATCCGCACGCGACGGTTTTTTTTTTATGATTTTCCAGACGTTCTTAACGCGTAAATAGCACAGGAGACACATACGACACTTTTGATCACACCGTGAATTAGGTTATGTTATACTTGCCGTGCCAACTTTGAAAATATTAAAATACCAAAATGAATTTTTAGGTATTAAGCAAAAATTAGAAAAACAAAGTAAATTGTATAAATGGTTAAAAGAAAGTTTGCATTTATTAAAACAATTTGTTTATTTTTATTTTAAATTTAAGTAGTGTTCGATAAGATTAATGGAAAAAGAAAAAACAAAATTCGGAAAGATAAAATGCAACCTTGACAGCGGATGCACGTGCCGTTTAGACTTTCGATTAGTGATAGTATATAAATTAAATGGTAAATTTTAAAATCAGCACTTTTTATTAACCTTTTTGCTGATTAATTTTAATATTTCAAAACAAGTGCAAATTTATAGGTGAGATTCCTTCTTTTAAATTTAAATCTGTTACCAACTTAACAAATTAAAATTTCTTATTCACTAGTGTGTTCTAGGGTTTTCTATTATCAATAAATTTTGTAATATAAAAAAATTCTAACCTCAATTGATGATATTTATTTTTTTAATAAAAACACTTCAAAATTCACATAAAACATTAAAATTCACGATCACAGACACAAAACACTGAAAAAAAATCCCATTATCAGTTTAAACTATCACACAAAGGATTAATTGTAACATTAACCTCTTCACTGATAATATCTTTAATATCACCAAGTAAAACCACTTCCGATTGGCGATTATCATATAAAAAATTAAAGTCCTCGTTTAACCACAATTGATTTCTTGCTATTTCTTCAGTAACAACCAAAAACAATTGTTTATCTTTGTGTTCTAATTCATCCTGTAAATATTCCATGACATTTTCATTGTTTCCGATAACTTCAGGTGTTTCCAACTTTGAATCTAAGTTGTAAAAATTTACGTTTATCCTTCGACATGTCACCCAATGTCTTCTTTTTAACGGTAATGTTATAAAACTCAACTTATAATCGCTGGGAACATTCAATATAAACCCAAAAATATTTTCCAATTTTAAGCAGGTAGGTTCTCTAAAAATAATATTTTTCTTTTCTTTTCATTTACACTTTGTCTACACTTACTTTCTTTTATCAAACCAAATGGCTTCGTAACCTCTAGATTGTAAAGCTTTCATCAAAACATTTATATCATAATTACCTAAACCCAATACAGATTTGTGTGGATTTATCCAAACATCGGGAGATAAGGAATAACAAATTTGGTCAAGTTCTTCTTTTGTAAATTCTCGAGATTGAAATAAATTGTTTAAAGCGTGCAAAGCACACAATTCTCTAACTTGCTTTTCATGGTAAATAGACAGGGTCATTTTTTCTTCAATATTTCGTTAATCGTCCGGTAATTTAACTATTCTTTATGGTTAATTTTTCGTTTTATGATTGAATTTAATCATTCTTATATCTTGGTATGAAAAACGAGTAAGTGGGATGATGAAACGTCAAATTTTTAGGTTATTGTTAAGATTTCAAAAAATAATCTTCATTTAAATTTCGATAAAATGGTACATTTCGAAAAACTTTGGTAGATATTGTGTAGTTATTAACGCGGTTGTTTGAAACTAAAATATTATGTAAATTGGTTTAAAATAGTTCTAATTTTTTATTTATTGGGTTGGCAGCGAATTTGAATTCGAAAATGCGATTGAGTCATTTAAAATAGAGAAAAATTAAAATAACCCAAAAGAAAACTTGAATATTCTTTTTATTAATTCTAATTTTGTAAATTATCGTTTATAATGTTTCTTTTTAGATTTTTTCGTTTTCTTTTTATGCCTCTTCCTTCTTTCAGAATCACTAGATTCTGAATTATCATTTTTATGTCTTGATTTTGAGCGTTTCAAAGGTGAACGGCTTCTTGATCTTCTTTTATGGTCCTTTTTCTTGTTACTAGAATGTTTTCGTTTATAATCCGACGATTCTGAACTAGAACGACTCGATCTTCTGGATGAGGAGTCTTTTTTGTATATAATTGGATTATTATCATTTTTTGACTTGTACTCTTCGTATTGATCTAAATCTAAGTATCAAAAAAACATTATTTTTAATTTAGCACAATTAAGAAGTTTCATAATTACTTAAAATTTTTGAATACTTTTCATATTCTTGTTTTGTAACTGGGACGACTAAAAATTCATTTAATGATATAGTTTCTTTTGAAATAGTTAATTTAACGATTACTCTCGATGTTTCTTGGTCTAGACCTAAAACTTCACCATATTTTCCCTTAAAAGCACCTGCTATAATCTTTAAAAAGGCTCCCTTAACTATTTTTAATTCATTTCCATGATTATCAACACCTATTTTTGGTTTATTCTCTTGGACTATCTTGGTAGCACCTAATCCTAACCCTTTGGGCCGTAATTCAGGTTCTTGTAATTTAAGATTTCTGTAAAAAATAAAATTATTAATGTAAAACAAAATTGTTTTTTTTTATATCTTACTGAGTTACATTCTTCCCGACAGTCATTCCATCTTTCCAACCCATTCCCCTTAACATAGCCAAGCCAAAATCTTCGATTGGAACACTTTCGTAATCTTCCAATGTAGATTCTTTTTCTCCATTTAAAGGTAAATTATCTGCACTTATTGGAACTGAAGCTATTTTAGTTTCTTTTTGAGCCACATTTGTCCTCGCTTCAACAATAAGCTGTTTTGCGGCTAACTCATCCAAGGTTAATTCCGAATCTGGTTTTATTAAAATATTTTCTTCATGCTTTTTGTTTGCTGCTTTTTTAATGCGATCTAAAAGGTTTTTTGAATCCTCTTTAAGCGGAATTATTAAGGGAGTCACAATTTCTTCTTTTTCACTAAAAAATAAATTTAATTGTTAATACGCGTTATTAGGTTAGGTTTTTTACTTACCCAATAACTTTAATTGATTGACCTTCTAAACAGTCTATTAATTGTATATCGCTTTTTGGGGTTGGTATCGATTCGAAAACGGTTGGTTTTTTAATCGTTTTGTTAAATCCAAAAGAGATTTTCTTATTCATTGTGTTGTTTTAATGACAAATAGAAACATAACCTTATTTTTTGTTTAGAATGATTTTGACGTTAACCTAGGGAATTTCGTTATTTTCAGAAATGGGGGGAAATTTAAAAATAAATGTATTACAATTATTTATTTATTATATTTTATTCAAATAATTCTCTATAAATCATTTTTTAATATTTTCAAGCTTGCTTCATCGACGTACTCATCCTAAAAAATTATCATTAACATAACCTAATTATTAATATAAGTACCTATTTACTTGATAAGTAGTTTTAGATGATTTTAACTCATCTTTCGATAAATGCTCGACTATTGCAGCTGTATAACAATCCCCTAACATATTATTGGTGGTTCTAAATCGATCCCTAAAAAGGATGTTTTTAATTACCTACAATATTTTTAGAGCTTGAATTTGCATACACAATCCAATCTACAGCAAAAAGTAATGATACATCCTCATTTGGAGTATCAATTGATGATAACACCATTAAAAGAAGTACTAAAGCCGCGCTTGGTACCGAAGCCGAGGAAAAGGAAGCTGCTGTTGATGTAAAGCTACAGACATAATCATGAGTACATTGAAATTAAATTAATTTTCTTGTTACCAAACAGTAATTAATTCTCCAACACTCAATTGAATCCCATTCATTTGGGCAATAAAAACACTGGCTATAGCAATAAATAACGCAGTTCCATCCATGTTTATATTACACCCAATTGGTAGAACAAATCTTGTAACTCTCGGATCAATTTTTAAGTTGTTTTCCATTAATTTAAAGGTAACGGGTAAAGCAGCAGCTGTTGAAGCGGTTGCAAAAGATGTGATCATCCCTTGAAACAATCCCAAATAAAATTTGAAAGGATTTTTTCGTATCACCAGGAAATAAATAGATTGAATCACAATTAATTGATAGAAAAAAACTCCAACGACAACGGTTATAATAAACCATGTTAAATTTGTTAAAACCAGCCCTAAATCGTGTACGGACAGAATTTTACCGGCTATAACGCTACAAATTCCCAATGGAGTAAAAAACATGACCAAATTCACCATTTTCATGACGACGTCGAAAATCGTTGTGAAAAAATGTATTAAAATTTTACTTTTTGCTCCTAAAGTACCAAGAATCGTGCCGAAAATTAAACAGAAAAACACGATTCCCATTGTATTAGTTCCAGATCTGCAACGTATAACAGTAACTTTGCAGCTTGTTTTAATATTCCACATTATTACCTATAACTGATTGTTCTTGTTATTATTTGAATTGAGTTAAATGAGTCATTTTTTGGGTCATAACGAAGTTGAGTTGTGTTTGTATAGGTTGTATGAGCCTAAAAACTGACAAATTAAATTTCGTGTTTTTTATAATAGAATGACTGTCTTTAACCCCTTAAACTTCTAACCCTAGAATACTTAACTCATAAAATACCGACATTTGTACAAGTCATTATGAAACTCGTATTTTTTTAACTTTTAAAATGCGTCTTAGCCACGTAAAATTGGCAAAAATTAAGACCTAGTTTATACTATGCATTCTAGGGTTGAAGCAGTTTGCTCATGTCATTGACAAATTAAAATGATCTTACTTGTTGGAATGTTGCTTGAAAAATATTCTCAGTAATTATATTTCTGAAAGAAAATAATTATACCTTCAAAAAATATTTTAATAAAAATCTGGTTTTACCTCCCTAAATCTAATAAAGCATCTAAAATCGAAGTTCCCTTACGATTTAGTCCCTTTTTCGGAATTTCATTTCCAAGTGTATCCTTTAAACCAGGATTGCCGGGATGAATCGAAACGGCTAAAAGGACTCCAAGCACGGCGTTAAAACCGGAAGTAACGAGAAAATACAACAAAGTCCTTACAGCGATTTTTCCATTTAAGCGAGCGTTTAAACTCGCACTTCCGGCTATTAAACTGGATATAATTAACGGTAAGATAATTAATTTTAATAATCGCATGAAGATTTCACCCGGATATTGAATTAAAATTATCGAATCGGATGATAAATTTAATCGTTTTAATAAAAAACCTGAAAGACATTTTTTTAATTTATTAATAGATAATTTTTTTAATTAAAGATATTTACCCAAAATAACTCCAAAAATGACAGCTAAAACGGTCGATAATAATAGTATGTTTGTTTTAAACCATTTTTTTAAGTTTTCCGGTAGATTCTTTTGGTTATATGGCAAGTTTTCTTCTTCTATATCAATTTTAATTGGACTTTCTTCTTGTTCACTCATTTCTACGAAGAGATAATCTGGAAAAAACAAGAAAACATTAATTGAAAAAAAGAAGCGTCAAATTTGACGTTAAAAATGACAATTAAATAATTTTGACTTTATTTTAAAAAGAAAAGTGAAAAGTTATTACCAAAATGAAAATTTTCCATAACTCAACTGATGCAAACAAAACTAAATTAATATAGTAGAAAATCGTTAGAATAAAAAGCGGAAAATAGTTCAAAACTTTAAACTGAAACCATTTAAGTTTTGAAGTTAGTTTTGATAACATAAAGGAATCTTTAGAAATGTTAATCACTCACCGGAATTATTTCACCACCCACTGTGTAGTGAAAAAATACTGAAGAAAATGCTGTTGTTGAAATTTCTTTTTATATCTTGTTTTTTCGTTTGCCCTTGAACTTTATTTTTATTTTCTTAATAATCCACGAAAACGAATGTATCGATTAAAAAAAAATTTCATTTAAGAAATTGTTTGGTGTCTTTTCAATTCCCTTTGCACCTTCAATTATCGACTAATATGAAAACAAGAAATTTTTGCAAACGCTTTAAAACACGATTTTAATTTCGTTATAAATATGCTTAAATAACTGAGAGACCTCCGCAAGGTATTTTTATTTATACATTTTCATAATTAATCTTTTATAATTGGTTTTTGATACGATTGCCAAAATGTTAAGTCAAAAATAACTCACCTTTAATCTGGAAAGAAATACCTTTTTAAGGTTACTTATGGATAACGCTTGAAAAAAATACTGTAAATAACGGGTACGAAGATACTGCGTCTACTTTTAAATTGAAAATATGATTTAAATAGATTAATATGGATTAAAATAGATTGAATAGAATAAATAGAATAAATTGTTTAATGTTATTTAATGATAAAAAACGGTGTCGAACGGAGTTTAATCTTAAACGACATTTCCTTTTTAAAAAATCTCATTGAATTATTTTTTAAATTTGAATTTAATTCTGTCGTTGAAATTCGAGTTTTCCCTTGATAGATGGGGCAGTCGAGACAAAAATATTTATACAGTTTGTGTTGCCTATGCCAATTTGAAATTATTTATATTTAAACATGAGAAATTTATAGCGCACAATAGAAAGTAAAACAATTTATTTTTTCTTTAAATTATGTTTTTATTATGCCGAGTGCCAATCTCTAAGAATTAATTATGAATGAAAGATAGGCAACTCAATATACATCGTGGTTAAAATTAAATTATTTTCTAAATAACAATTTTATTTATTATAACAACTTAAAACTAATATTACTTACTTAAACAAATAAATAACTATTCAATAGCATTAATTATTATCACAAAAATTTACCACACCCAAAACTGGTAAGTATTTTTAAAGGTTGGCATTACCGAAGCGTCACCGATCAAACGAACCAATGGTGATTAGTGATTTTGCAGCCGCCCCCACCATCCGCCATCTTCATACTGAACTTGCGCGGTTTTAGTCCAACACAAAGTTGCATCGAATAGAACTACGTCTTTGTGTAAGTTACGTTTGTGTGTAGTTTTTAAAGGATTTTAGTGGTTTAAGTAAGTAAATCAATTAATTCTTGAATTATAATCCGTCGATCGCGTTTCATGGTAGTTAACCACGGCATTTTTACATTTCTCTGAGTGGTAATATCTGTGAAAATTTCCATACGAAAAGTAGGAATACCGGCTTTTTTGTTGATTTAGATTAATTTTTTTAAATAATTTCGTTTGAATCGTTAAAACAACGTAGTTTTCTTTACGTTATGAGATTAATTGATGCGATTAAAGTGATCTAAAAACCACATTTGTTTTACGTATAGATGCTCTTCTTTTTCGATTTTTATAGATAACTATTTATTTCTTTGTTGTAAAAATTATAAAATTTTTATGAAAAAAATGTTCAAACATTAAATAGTTGATTTAAGAAGCACTTTGTATTTCAAATTACATCGGAAAAAATGATTTTAAAGCAATCCATTGATTTTGAGCTAGAATCTTAAAAATTAAGCTTTATTTGAAATTTTTAAGAATCGTGTTTTACAATAAATAATTCTCGAAAGTTGGATTATATATTTTTAAGCTCAAATGAAGTAATTTTTGTTTGCAAGAAGATACGCCCTGATGACATGTGTTGAAATAGGGGGTTACTGTACAGTTTGAACGACCCCAAAAACCGGCAGCTGGCTTTAGGGTAATAGTTAGGGTGGTTTCGGAGTCCCGCACAATTTTATTCTATTAATTTTATCTTTATATAATTTGCAAGGTATCAGATTTTTCGTATTTTCACCATTTCACATGATTTATAACCGTGCCTTACAAGAGCCAAAGTAACCTAACTTTTTGCGTTCTGTTGAAATCGACACGATGTTATTTTGGTATTTTAGTTACTTGATAGTTCAATCAGGTTTTTCACTTCCTAAGCTCTATCAATCGAGATTCGTGATGGAAATGTGAATTAGCATCAACCAGAAGTTATTTTTAGTGCAGGTTTTTTTTTTAAGTCTTCATATTTTCCTTTGTGTGTATAATTTTATGGTCAACTTTGGTAAGGAAACCTTTCCACTAGTCTATTTTCTTTTGTTATTTTGGAATGTACCTGCTTTTTTGTCCTATTGTTAATATTTTTATTGTAAAACTTTTAAATGGGGTATGTACAAGAATTTTTGGAAATCTTGAATATTTTTGCAAAGTCTTTAAAAGTATACAACAAATTTTGATTTAATTTTCTTTCTCGAGAACTATAAACACCAGAAAAATGAAATTTGGGGAATAAGTTTAGCATTTCTAGCTTATTTGTACTCCCAAAATTTTCCGCCATTTTTGAGGGGCGTAGCTCTCAAGGGGAATCGAAGTTGATCGTAGTTCATATAAGAAGGTACCCTTAAAATTTGCTAAAGAATCACCCCCTAAAGTTTAGGAACGCCATTCCCTATACAGGATGTCCCGTATCTTCCGCATCAAAGCATTATACGGTTGTAGGATACATTATTCTGAAGCGACCTTTCTAATAACATTTTTTCGAAATATTTATAATAACCGCACGGAAACTGTTTAAACGAACTGTTTTCGTCCAATAGATTTGCTATAGCCGTATAATGCTCTGATGCGGAAGATACGGGACACCTGTATGTGACTATACAGCGTGTTTTCTTTTTTGTATTAACATTTAATGTTCAAGCCGAGCAATGATAAACGGACAAGTTAGTTTGTTCATCCATAATGTTTATTTAATCTATACAGGTGTCTCAGCGAGACCGGTCATTAGACGTTTCTGGGGTTCTGGCGAAAATAAAAATTTGAGAATTCAGACTTAAGTATTATCAATTACGATCTCTTCGACTAAAATATTTTCAGGTTTCTTGCACTTCCGGTTATACCGGAAGTCGCCACCTACTTTATTTTTTTAAATGGAACACCCTGTATATTTTTACATATTTGGATTTGTCTGTTTTCAAGGTTTATAAATAACTTTACTTTTTGCAATTTGATTCGGTCGTTCTCGAGTTATTCGAATTTTTCTAGAAAAATCTGCTCCAGCAGACATTTGTTCAAAAAATCAGAAAACACTCAATTTTTGGGATATCAATTTAGGATTGAGAACATGCTTAAGCAACATGATGGAGTATGTTTTGGTGCCGAGAACTGCGGTCTAGAACGTTTGATCACTTTACTATGGCACGTTAACTTTTCAAAATTTGGAAGTACCATAACTTCATTTTTTTAAATGGCACCCCCCATATTTTATTTTTTAGTCGTCTTCGGTGTCTCATTCTACATCTTTTATATCCCATATGGCCCATACCTAATATTAATAGTTTGGGAGATAATTAGGGTTTTTTGAAAAATGCACACATATCATATGGATATTTAGCCTAGTGTGCCATGAAAAACAAGCCTTCTCAATGAGTTCTTGTCAAAGACTCACTTGTTTACGTCACTTGATGCATGTGAGCTAATAATTATCTGTTATGTCCCTTAATATTAGTACTGAAACGAGTTAAAATCGATAACAATAACGAAAGTAATATTTACACAAATCAAGAAATTCTTAATTTATTTTTTTTGCATGAAAAGCGCGACAAAGTTCGTAGTATGATTCCCAGATCTTCTTTGGCAGCTCGAATTGAGGTGTTGGGACTGGGCTCGAAATAAGCCAAGGTATTCACCTCTTCCGTTGCATTATCTACTACATTTTTTGGTCAGTTTAACACGTGATTAATTCGTCCAAAATGCAAAAAATTTGCTTCTATTCCTCTAAATTTACCTTTTGTCATCGGAGATAAATGTGGATAATTTTCATTAAACATTCTGCAAGTTCTACTAAGAACTTTGTCGCACTTTTCGTGCACAAAAAATAAATTATGGATTTCTTCATTTGTATAAACATTATTTACGTTATTAATATCCATTTTAACTGGTTTTAGACTCACAAGCATCAAACAACCTAAATTAGACTTTGACGTTTATCAATAAGTCATTAAACATTTGTTTTCCATGGCACACTAGGTTAATATCCATATGATATGTGAGCATTTTTCAAAAAACCCTAATTATTTCTCAAACTATTAATGTTAGGCATAGGACATATGGAATATAAAAGATGTAAAATGAGACGCCGAAGACGACTAAGTAATAAAATATGGGGGGTGCCATTTAAAAAAATGAAGTTATGGTGCTTCCAAATTTCGAAAAGTTAACGTGTCATAGTAAAGTGACCAAACGATCTAGACAGCCGTTCTTGGCACCAAAACATACTCCATCATGTTGTTTAAGCATGTTCTGAATCCTAAATTGATATCTCAAAAATCGAGTGTTCTATGATTTTTTGAACAAATGTCCGCTGGAGCAGATTTTTCTAGAAAAATTCGATTAACTCGAGAACGGCCGAATCAAATTGCAAAAAGTAAAGTTATTCATAAACCTTGAAAACAGACAAATCCAAATATGTAAAAATATATAGGGTGATCCATTTAAAAAAATAAAGTAGGTGGCGACTTTCGGTATAACCAGAAGTGCTAGAAAACTGAAAATATTTTAGACGAAGAGAACGTAATTGATAATACTTAAGTTTGAATTCTGAATTTTTTATTTTGGCCAAAACCACAGAAATGTCTAATGACCTGTCTCGCTGACACACCTGTATATTATACCTAGTACATTTGCATTAATAACAATTCTAATCGATGAGTAACTCAATAAAATTTTAAAGTTTTTTTAATGACTAAGAAATTTAATTCTTAATGATTAAGGCATTTTAAATTACCTACTCTTTATAAACTGACTCACGTGGTGATTTTCTAATGCATTTCTTTTAACTAAAAATCTGAGAAATTTATGTGTTTTACGTGACCTTGAAAACGGTTGCTTCCTTAAAAAATTATTTGTATTCCATGGAATCTGACAGGAAGTGTAAAAAAATCATTTTAGGTATTACCAATATAACAAAACGTGATTTGAACGGTAGTGAACGTTTTTACGTTTTCATGCCAGAAAATAAACACAAACTTTTGTTTAAATATTAAAAATGCTGTAGTTACGATTATTCTTACACAAAGGAATTCCTTTCTGGTCCTACGTCCATAAATTCGAATAAATATTCCACACCTACTAAATATGCGGATGAAAAAAGACGGGTGGTCCCCTTAGCT